TTCCGGAATCCATGTTCCCTACAGGTGAATTTAGACATCTTCCTCACAGCACAGAACTTGCAACATTTAAGCCAGTTTCTTGAATCTCAAGTTAGAAATTCCATACTCAATTTTCAAACCACAAGAGAGACCTGGAGTCAGTCCTTCAATTCATTATTTAAGAAGTGAACAATTTTCTAAAAGCATCAATACCTTGGCACTCACGCATTACAATCACACCAGAGAAAACCTAGTCTGGCCTTGAGTTCTTCAGCAAAACACATTGTCATCAGATCCACCCAGGAAAAGCTAATATTCATCCTAGACCTGACTATTTCTCAGGGGAGAACAGAGAAGTTTCCTAATGATACACATGCTTACAATCAGGTATTTTACAGATAATTATCTATTCAGTCCTTTTATTTAATGGACTGAATATTACTGAAACAAATTTAAAATTAAAATTTAAATAAATTATCTTCTATTGGCATAGAATAAAGGACCCCTGCTCACATATAAACTATTTTCTCATTTGCCTTTCTGATGGGTCTTATCAATGTTTTAGACTTTTCCGTCCTTCAATAAACATGTTAGAAGCTACACCTGAAGCATTTAATCTAATAAGCATTCAGAAGTATAAGAAAAGGTTAATGCAATGATTAAAAATAAAAGAAGCAAATTCTAATAGTTCTTATGTTTGAACATTAGATGTTTTACATTTCTCAGCTACTAGCTACTCATTGGTGTTGCTAAGCAGAAAGTTTTTCTAAGTCTGCTCATACTCAAATGTAATAGAAAATTCATTTTAAATCAGTGTTTGTTCAGAGCATAATGAAACAGTCAGTTTCAGTTCATCTTTCATACTCTAAAGATAAATAACCTTGTGACATGCTACAGTAAGTTTCACAAACATACTTTTGTTAACAGCTTAAGCAGCCTACCAGAACTATCTACCCACTCAATAAGCAACAAAGAGCTTCAAAACTAAAAAATACTTCATATAGCAGAAGACTCAAGAATAACCAAAATGACTGTTTAGTAAAAGAAATTTCCTCTCACACTTTTATTCAAGTTATGTGTCAGTTCAAGAACTCAGTTCTCCAACAAAATAAATTATCTGGAAACAGTTCGTCAAGGAACTTTTACTTGAGTTTTGGTAACCTGACCCAAAAAGTTCCCTCAGAAATTTTCAGAGTAAGAGGACAAAAACCTGAACTTTTCAGTGAAATGAGGTATTTTTGCCTCATAAAAGCCCATTCTCTGCTCTCAGTCAAGTTAAAACTTTCACAAGAGAAGAAAAAAAATAACAGAAGGGTGAAAAGTTACTTAAAACTAAGGATCACGGCAATGTTTTTCATACAAAATAAAGTTGCCATTTTTCATTTGAAGATTCCAAGTAAATATTTTTTTTCAGATCTTATCAGTTATTAAGAAGTAGTACGTTTGTTCTACAAAGTTCTACATGAATTATAGAATACAATAAACACTCAATTGAGTTAATAGAGAAACAAGATGTTCAGAAGTGCATTGCTTAAGTAACTATAAGAGCCAGCCTGAAAATTTGACTTGGACGTTTCAGTTATTTCATCAAATACCTATTCATGTGCATACAGCACTTTTCCAAGGCTTCTGGTAGCAAGATTTCTACATATTTGATTCCTGTGGATTTTAGTACGATGAGATGCACCTAAAACATTCATCAAAGCTGCTACTGTATTACAATGACAACATAATATTGCTCTGGAAAAATATGCCATTAACTCACGACCTTAAGACTTATATACTTATAATCTCAGTCCAAGCTATTGTCGCAAGACCGCATTACCTTTTGCTCTTTTCCTTGCTTTATCCTGATCAGGGTATTTAGTTGCATACTTGTCGTGGTTAGAGCTAAAAAACCCAATTCTGGTTAGTGATTTCCAGTTTAGTCTCCTCTTAAAGGCTGCACTTTGTGAAGTCAGCAGCATGTTTTTGCAGACAGTGTGTGCTACCAGCAGTGATAACACCTGATGTTTGCAGTTACTGCCTGGGACTGGGATGAAGAAAGACTCTTCCTTATACTTATTCCTGTAGTGAACAAGGGCATTACTGGCTCTCGTGTGCCACGCTGGGGCTCCCGGGTAGTAAGAGGGGTCACAAGGAAGTAAATGGTTGCACCTCCAGGGGTAATAGACAGGACAGGTGACCAACAAGAGTATTCCATCCCATACACGTCATATTTAGTATAAACTGAGTGATCGCGAGAGTTTCTTCCCTTCTTTCCCCTTTTCTGCCATGGCCGGTGTCCAGGGAGAACTCCGTCCAATCTCCTGCTTTTACCTGGATCCTGAGTTCCCGAATCCAGCTCCCTGTATCCAGCTCCCTCTGCCACTGAGCCTGAGGCTTCCCCAGTGCCACCTGCTCTGTTGCAACAGTGGGGATTGCTGTCGGGGCAGGCGGCAGTCGGGTTCGATATCGGGCTTATATACAGTTCTATACAGTTCTTTATTTTTACCATGTCACCATTATTTCTATTGTTTCATTAAAGCTGTTCTAGTTTTTCTTTCCTAACCCGTAAGTATCTCTGCCTCACTCCCCTTTCCTTCCCATTTGGTGGGGGGAGAAGAGGGTGTTAGAGAGCGTCTGTCCATGTTTAGTGGCCAGCCCAGCCCTAACCCGTGACAATACTACAAAAAGAACACTTTAAAATAATGTGTTGCTTTAATATATTAAACAGGTTGATGGTTTATTTAGAAGTGAGGTGCCATACTTCCCACTCCACATATAAATAAGAATAACTACTTGTCTTGAATACCGTAAGCACTACAGAGTTAAAAGGGGTATGTACGAAACTCAAAAACGTCAAATAGCCATGAAACTCCAAACTATCCAAACTGGGAGAAAAAACATTAGAGTCAGAACAGCCAAGTCCAGTGTTACTACATTAGGATAACAAATGCAAGCTGAAATATTTCTTGTCAGTTCAGCATACACAGAAAGAATTTTATTTCCACTTCTGACTTGTAGAGGTACTTTTCTTCATTTTATATAACATTCCAAAACATGATTAATTTTCCTTTAGCAGTGATCAGAAAGCTAACATTAATAATGAAAAAAGCACTCATTATTCCTATCCAGATACTAACTCTAAGGAAACATCGAAAAAAGTAGGCAGTAATATTATCTAATAAATATCTCATTCCATAAATGTCAAGATTTGGTGTAACGTTCTTGTTGTTGTTTCTTTTTTGTTTTTAAGAACCACCAAATTCTTGCAAAGTATGGAAGTTTAAACTGCCTAAACCAAAAGCAATATTAAATGAAGCCTCCTGCAGAATTAATCAAGTTTCTTCCCAAGGGGCAGTCACTTCTGGAACGCTAGAACTTGTACTAACTCATGAACAATATGAAAAGAAATCTGAATAAGATCACTTAAGTTTACCAGTAATACCATAAATAAAAAGAAAAGCAAAAAGCTACTTCATGATAGGGCAGTGATGCAGGAGAGGAAAATACAGTTTTGATAAATACAAGAGTTTACTTATTTTATGATACAGAAATACAATGGCAAACTCTAAACTACAGCCACTTGATATTTCCATATTAAAAATAGGTGGCTGCATAAAACTGACAATTTGGAACTCAGGAACTGTTAAGGACAGCCTTAGAAAAAGTGAAAAGAACAATACGAAAAAGACTCCCCTTTGAGATTTTGCAGAGTGTAAGACAGGATTTGCTTTTTTTTTTTTCCCCCTCATTACTTCCTGCACAGTAGCATGCAATGACCCAGCCCACATGTCTGCTTATCGAGACTTCAGGTTCAGCTCTGCATTTCATTCACCAAATCCAGTGTGAATTTCAGCCTAGGGTCATCAAGCTCCATGTCCCCACAACCCCATACCTGAAGACTTCCACACCTGCAAGACCTTTCTTGAAATGCCAGCTCTATGGATGTGCAATCCAGCAGCTTTATCAGTGTATCTTCTTCAGATATTTCTCTTAGGTATTGCAATAGCAACAAATACCAGTATTTTTGTCTGAAGAATACACGAAGTTAGTTAACTTAGTGGGTTGGTTTTTTTAAACTAAAGAAAAGAATCCTGGTTTTGTAACTTAATTTTGTATGTTTTAATGCTACCTCTGTATGAAAGTGATACCAAAATGCCAAGCTCTAAATAGACTAATATTCTAAGATTTTATTTACAGAACGATTATCAAAAGGCAATACTTCAAATTTAAGAACATGTACTGCTTACTGTAAGGATTGCTCTATACAAGGTGAAACTTGCTAATTACACATAGTACTGACAGAGAAGTTTGAGGTAAAAATATGTAGCTGGTTAAATATCTATTTTAAGTTTTATTCTTCTATAGCCCAGATGCAGGAGTTGTGCGCGGTATTTGCAGTTATACTCAACACCTTGGGACAAGGCCTGTCTTGTACATGAAAACATAATGGATAGTTTCCATGCTACATATTTTAAAAACACTTGATCTTCAAGTCTTTTAGGCAAAATTGAGTTAACCAAGTTCATTGGAAAACAAAGAACAGGAACACCAAACCAAAAAGCTGATGAAGAGTAAGGCCTTAAAAGACAAGGAACCAAAGCCAGTAGTCAGATACAGCAAAAACAGCTGATGAAAGAGAAGAACCTAAAACCAGAATGATAACCTAGGAGAATTGACTCTAGGACTAACAAGTTTAACATCTAGGACAGTAAGAAACAATTCAATAATCAGTGAAAGAGGATTAACAAAACCATTAAGAAGTCAAACATTAGATAAAGTTTTTCTTTTTCAAGCTAGAGAGCTCAAGACAGGTTCATAGTTAATGTCCTGGTTCTCTAAACTCTTAGCAACAAACAACAAGTAAATCAACTCCTTTAACATAGTTAACACACAGCTTCAATCTTGCAGCTTTCACCTGTCATAAATAGCTTGAGTATTCTAATGACTGTAAAAGGAAGCTTAGGGCTCTCCAGAAGCATCACCAGGCCTAGTGAGCAAAAAACAAAATAAGAAAAAAACCCACCCCAACATACCTTGTGTTGTTCTATGGAGTCTATCCATTGTTGTCTGTGGTCTGGGTCCTGAGCTCGGAGGTACCAAACACTATCATTTACACTAATATCAAATCTGCATTCATCGAAGTCATGGGGCTGTGAGAGGAAAGAGTATAAAAGTAGCTAAAATTAGCAACATGATGAACAACACCCCACAGAACATGGACACCCTAAAAAACACTCTAATTAGAAAATCTGACCTATATTGTCCTGAAGTCTCTGTAAATTTACCTTAGATGTTAATTTTTGTTTTATGCAGCTCGTAATGAACATACACTCTCACAATGAAAACTGCCAGTCTTCTGAAATAAAAAAGCCTGTATAATACATGCGTATTAAATAAAATTGTCACAAAAACTTCCATACAAACACTGAACAGGATTTCATGCTTTAGAATAAAATTTTTTAGGAAAGTAACTACAGAACACATCCAGGAAAATACATCTATATAAATTTTTAATTTCAAAGCAGGAAAAAAAAAAAGGTTATTGCTATCAATATTGATTTTAAATAGAAGCTATACACTGTAGGAAAAAGCACCAGCATATAACGATCAAAGCAGACTAAAGCAAAATGACAAGGAAGAGAGGGAACTGAAGGAAGCTGTGGCACCCTCTGCCTCAGCTATTTTCAGCATATAAAATAGAATTCACAGACATTTGGGAGCAACACGCAATCCTTTCCAGTATCACCAGTCAAATGAATCTATCTTTCAGTTCACGTGCCTTAAATACTAAAAAGCTTTTACTGGCATTACAATGAAGCTGGTAAGCAAAGTAGAGGGAAACAAAACAAATATCTAATCTGCCCTGTGACCTGACCCCTTAGCAAACATCCACCTGAACACATCCCTCCCTCACTAGCCCCTCAAAAAACCCCTTTCTGAATACAAAGAAAGAAATTACACATACAAATTACCACAAGAAGCTATCAGGTTGTAAGGTTATGGTAAGCAAGATGATCTGAAGGACCACAAATACCCATTCCAGATGCTACAGACAAGTCAAGTCTACACATGGTAGTAATATTCTTTACAATGTAAGAACCACTCTGAATATGTTCACCTTGCAGACAACTAAAGCACTGTGAATCACTTGTGAAGCACTCCACATGAGAAAACAAGAGAAAACCCAGAAGCAAGTCTCATTTGTTGTCAAGCACAGCAGTCCAGTGTCAGTGAGAATTATTTTTAAAGGATCTGGAAATCAGAAGCTATTTCCACATAATACAGAATATTTCTTGGTCAAATGTAGAAAGAAAAGCACAACAGAAGCCAGTAACAGATGAGCTAGAAAGTGTTTATCAAAAGTACACAAAGCTTCACTTTTTCTGTTAAAAGCTTCACATATTTGCTCAAGCATCTGAATCAAAGTTCAATATAAAGGAAATTTAAACTTCCCATGGAGAAAAAACCTCAGCAATTGACAAAACTGACAATCAACTCAACTGTAGCTACTGATTACTTAATAATTGAGCAATCTCAGTTCAAGTCAAACAACTTTCAAAACTGGTTCTATACAATGTTTTGCCTTCACTGAACTACAGAACACAGGGATGTAAGCAGGGACAGGTGGCTGACCCTGCCTGGACATCGGGTGCCCACTACAGCTGCTCTACCATTCTCCTCCTCAGCTAGACAGAGAGAGAAAATACAATGACAGACTCGTGGGTCAAGATAATGACAGAGAGATCATTCAACAGTTACCTTCACAGGCAAAACAGACTTGATCTGAGGGGAAAAATATTAATTTATTACCAGTCAAATCAGAGCAGGATAATGAGAAACAAGAGCAAAACTAAAGGCACCTCCCCTCCCAGAATTGTCAGAGTTAGAAGAGACCTCTAGAGGTGATCTAGTCCAACCCACCCTGCCCTACCCCATTAAAATACATTTGTCTAGAGCACATTACACAGGATTTCATCCAGGAGGATTTTGAAAGTTTCCAACAACAGGAGACTCCACAATCTCCCTTGAGCAGCCTGCTCCAGTGCTCTGTCATCCTCATGGTAAGTTTTTCCTCATACTTAGATGGAAGATCCTGTGTTCCAGCATGTGCCTACTGCCCCTTGCCCTTTCACAGGGCACTACTGAAAATCCAGCTCCATCCTCCCTGCATCCACCTTTTAGGTATTTATAGACATTAGTAAGGTCTCCTCCCAGTCTTCTCTTCTCCAGGCTAAAAAGTCCCAGCTCTCTCAACCTCTCCTTGTAAGAGAGATGTTCCACTCCCCCAATCATCTTCACTGCTCTCTGCTGGACTCTCTCCAGTAGTTCCCTGTCTTTCTGTGTCCAGAACTGCGCACAGTATTCCAGACACATTCTCACCAGGACAGAATAGAGGGAGGATGACCCACTGGCCATTCTTCTTAATTCAGCCCCAGATATCATTGGCCTTCTCGGCAACAAGGGCACACTGCTGGCTCATGGTTAACTGGCTCATGGTCTACCACGACTCCCAAGATCCTTCTCCTCAGGGCTGCTTTCCAACAAGTCTATCCCTAACATACACTGCAGCATGGGGTTCTTCCTCCCCAGGTGCCGGACCCTGCATTTGCCTTTTCTGAACCTAATTAGGTTCCTCTCTGTCCAGCATGCCAGCTTGCCCAGGTCACACTGGTTGACAGCACAGTCCTCTACTGTGTCAGTCACTCCTTCTGCTTTTGTATCATCAGCAAACTTGCTGAGGATACGCTCTGTCCCCTCACCAAGGTCATTGATGAACATGTTTAATAAGACCAGACCCAGTACCGACCCCTGGGGAACACTGGTGGTAACAGGCCTCCAACTTGACCTCACACTTGATCTCAACCCTCAGGGCTGTGTCACTCAACCAGCTCTCAATTCACCTCACTGTCCACTCGTCTAGCCTGCACTTCCTTTCCTCCTCACCCCTCTTTCTTCACAGCCTCAACTTCAACCATGATTTTCTCTACCTCCTCCTCACAAGCAGTACAGGGCAGTGAAGACTGGGGGTTGCAGTCAGTTCATCAACACAGGACACAGGCCTCTGTAAACTCCTCCAGCACGGGTCCTTCCCACAGGCTGCAGTTCTTCACAAACTGCTGGGATGCCTTCCATGGGGTGCAGTCCTTCAGTGACAGACTGCTCCAGCATGGGTCCATCCCATTGGTTCACAAGTACTGCCAGGAAAACTGCTCCACGTTTTCACCATGGGCTGCAGGGGAACCTCCGCTCCAGCACCTGAATCACCTCCTCTCTCTCCTTCTTCACTGATCTTGGTGCCGCTCATCCTCATCACTCTCTTCCAGTTGCTGTTGTGTAGCAGTTTTTATCCCTTCTTAAATAAATATGTTATCACAGAAGAGCTACCATCATTGCTGATCATCTCAGTTTTGTCCATCAGTGGGTTTGTATCTGAGCTAGATAGTACTAGCTCTATCAGATACAGGAGCAGCTTCTGGCATCTTCTCACAGAAGCCACCTCTGTAGCATCCCTGCTATCAAACTCTTGCCATGTAAATCCAATATAGGATGTCAAATCTTCTAGTCCAAGCCTCTCTCCAAACTGCATTTCCTACCCGGTTACTACTACTAAATATGAAAAAGATGTTTATCTGCTTTAAGGTAGCAAACCTGTCTCATCCATGTGTCAGGCTTATATGCCTGTTCCCACCCCAGCCACCCATTTGCCAGGCCCTCCTTTAGCCATGTAGTGAGTGACATGCATCTACAACAACGGAATATTCTCCCAAAAATCACCCCAAAAGCACTGCACAAGAATTAGCTACTAATTTTTCCTGCCATGATAGCAATCCTCTGTTTAATCTTCCTTTCTCTGAAGCCCTTTTGTGAGGAGGCAGAAGCAATTACATGCTACACAGTTTGAGACTTGTAAAAATTCATCTTAAAAGCCCGCAGTACTACTGATTTCACACTTCCATATACAACTTACTCCACTGCACAATCATCCTTGCCTTTTTTCCCCCTCCATCTCTAACCTAAACCTAAGAAACAGCCACTAAATTAGGCAAGTGACACGTGATCTGCTCGACAGATGCATGTTACCTAGTTACCATCTTATAGCACTTACTAATTGGATATTTTCCTTATTTTTGGCAACTGATACCAGACCCATTATTTACTCTCCTTTTCATCTTTTTTTATTTTTAATACAGGATCCACCACCAGAGCCCTAAATTAAGTGAATGTGCAAGACAAGCTATCCAATACTCAATTTTGCATTTCTCTTCACTTTCTTCATGTAGATACTATTTCACTTAGATCTCCTTTCCTCTGAGGTTCACTGGTTCAGTCTAGTGTTTGCTCTCCTCCTCACGCTCAGAAACTCTTATAAAACGGTACAGTTCTTAGCCAGACAAGATGTTCGAGGATAAAGAAGGATTTTCTTCTGTAACAACCTAAGGACCTATGCTGAGGCCAGGATATGTCCTACTGCCTTTTCACAATCAAGATAAGGAGAGAAAGAGGAATGTCTTAGTCATGCACGGAAGCAGGAAGCAAGCAGTTATTCACTATCTACCCTCAGGACCTAAAGCACACTGGAGAACTTCAGCTGCTTTTTCCTAACTCCCCCACACCACAGCAGTTTCAGACAGCTTACATACACAAATTGAGAGGGCAAGTCTGGGAACAAGCCCCAGACACTGTGAATGGGAGCACCTGGAAACCTTTACAGCATTTTCAAACGTGAGTTGGGCAAACTTTAAGAGTCTGTGGCAGACTTAGCCTGTGTGTGCACTATGGGTTCCTTCTAGAGCAAGCACTTAAAAACTCAAACAGGTAAACCATAATTCCATGCAAGAGCATGCTGCAAGACGAAGGCATCCAGCACTCCCAAACACCCTTTCTGTATATGTACTAAGTCGTCTCCCAAATCATCTACAAATATTTCTAATGAAACAAAGGTAATTTCAAGATTTAAGTGTCCTAGATCTTTCTGTACAAAAGCAACTGATACTAGACTAGCTCTTAAATTCTAAACACGTAAGAACAGTTTATACGAAGAAACATTTACTAGGCTACAGTTACTGAGGAAGTCCATGGCCAGCTCAGGTCTCATGAGTCATAGCTGACTGCACTCCCTCAAAATCTTTTGTGCTATACAGCTCTCAAG